AAGGTTTTGTTGAGTTCGAGGTTTCATAAAGTAGCCCAACTCAGATTTCTATTTTTGGAACGACTATGACCTGGACGGCTGAGCACCTTTACCGGCACATAGTTCTACATCTGTTAATTGGAAACCAGACGACTTTCACAGATTTTATTCATCTTTTTCATTTAGTAACATCATAGGTTTCTGTTCTCTCCCATCGTATAAATACATTTAATGAGTAATTTTTTTTTCTTCTTACAGTTGGCAAAACATTTTTTTTATTCTGCATATAAAAAACATGAATCCTCGCAGTTGTGAAAAAAATCCTTTCAATACTTCAAAAAAGTGAGGTTTTTAGCAAAAAGGCTGCTTTTCAATGAATCCCTAGTTGATCGATAAGATCAATCAGCTTTAGAGTCATTCATTAAGCCATAACTAATGCAGTACATTCAAAAAACAAGTTTCTTCATCTGCAAACGGTGAAATGATGACTTCCTGCTATGATGGATTCAGACCGTTTTATTGCCGCTGGGTTCAGAGAGGAGAGATGTTTTCAGATATCATTTTCTCTGTCTGAACGGGTTTGAATCTGGATGTTTATCAGCAGAGCTTCACCTCGCACAAAATGGAGTCTAGCATTTCCTAAAGCAGGAAGTGTTCATCACACGTGTCTGTGCGCACACGCTGGGCCGTAAAAAACCCACCTCTGCTGCCAGGAGATGCTGTGAGGAAGAAGAAGCGTCAGAATAAGAGTCTGGCTGGTAGAAGCACAGGATTCCTCTCAAACCGGGGCCTGAGCATCCAGTCGGATCCAGATCAGGAGGGCGATGGTGAGACCAGGTGCATAAAGACGGGACATTTTCCACAGCTGGAGACGCCAATTGCTCGTCTCTTCCCTGACTTTCTTCTCCTTCAGTCATTCGGTGGAAATTTACCGCACCAGTTCTCCACCATGATTGCTTCGCTTTTTTCTGTTTCCACATTTTTGCAAAACAAATGAGGAAGTTTTAAAGGAGGAAGTAAAGTGGAGCCTTAGTTTAGATCTCATCTCTGCCCTCACTTAAGACTCTTTAGTCAGTATAATAAACATTCTAAAGCTTTCTTTTTCATCGATTATTCATTCCTAATGAGCTGAACAGAGAAGCTCCTTTTTTAATAATATTCTCCAGTTTCCGCTGTTTCTCAAAATGATCCATGAAGGAATCAATATCATCAATAAACTGTAATGAATTTCATCTGTAGAGGCAGATGAAGTGAACAGAAAGGGACTAGAGAGCGAGCTCATGGGGGTCGGTCAGACAATGTGACCATAAAAGGTCTGAACTGGAACCTCGGTCCTCCTGAGCTGAGCTGTAGGTTAATCTCCTCTAATCTGCTGCAGGCTGTTTTGCAGAACTTCGGCTCATAAATCCCACCAATCCTTTTCAACCACAGTTTTTCGTTTTCTAAAGATTGGAAATATGAATTCTATCATCTTAACTTTGTCTTTTAAATTCTCTTGATATCGAACAAATACTGATTACTACAGGTACGTTGTTACCGACATCGCTCGCAGTAACGACGTGTAAATGATGCAGTTTGCAGTGAAAAACGGAGCAGATGAGCTGGAGGCCTGCTGGTCTGGATTTCTTCACCTGCAGAATATTTTTATAAGCGCTGTCCCCCATTTAACCCCCCCACCCCAACAGATGGACACAGAAATCTCAGCCTCAGGAAGGTTTCCATTAAAAAAACGAACGACTAAAGTCTGTTTTAAACTATAAAGCCGGTATTCTGTCAAACCAGCATACCCATAGTCTATACGCATGCACAGGACGTCAGATTTGGGTTTATCCCTTTAGTTTTGTACGAAAAAATATTATTTAAGGTCAGATCGCCATACAGTCCAAAGAAAACACCAAAAAGTAATTAAATTAGTTTAGTAGAAAAAAATAGGAAAAAACAAATGGATAAATTAAAGGGATACGCCCCCTTTTAGGTAGTTTAAAGTAGGGATGCACGATATTGGGATTTTGGCCGATATACAATATGCCGATATGTTAAAACTCATGTAGCCGATAACCTACAGGTGCTGGTCATAAAATTAGAATATCATGAAAAAGTAGATTGATTTCAGTAATTCCATTTAAAAAGTGAAACCTGTATATTATATTCATACATTACATACAAACTCATATATTTCAGATGTTTATTTTGTTTAATTTTGATGATTACAAATGACAACAAATGAAAATCTCAAATTCATCATATCAGAAAATTAGAATATTGTGAAAAGGTTCAAAATTGATGGCCCCTGGTGCCACACTCTAATCAGCTAATTAACTCAAACCACCTGCAAAAGCCTTTAAATGGTCTTTCAGTCTAGTTCTATAGGCTACACAATCATGGGGAAGACTGCTGACTTGACAGTTGTCCAAAAGACGACCATCGACACCTTGCACAAGGAGGGCAAGACACAAAAGGTCATCGCTAAAGAGGCTGGCTGTTCACAGAGCTCAGTGTCCAAGCACATTAATAGAGAGGCGAAGGGAAGGAAAAGATGTGGTCGAAAAAAGTGTACAAGCAAGAGAGATAACCGCACCCTGGAGAGGATTGTGAAACAAAACCCATTCAAAAATGTGGGGGAGATTCACAAAGAGTGGACTGCAGCTGGAGTGAGTGCTTCAAGAACCACCACACACAGACGTATGAAAGACACGGGTTTCTGCTGTCGCATTCCTTGTGTCAAGCCACTCTTGAACCACAGACAGCGTCAGAAGCGTCTTGCCTGGGCTAAAGAGAAACAGGACTGGACTGCTGGTGAGTGGTCCAAAGTCATGTTCTCTGATGAAAGTAAATTTTGCATTTCCTTTGGAAATCAAGGTCCCAGAGTCTGGAGGAAAAGAAGAGAGGCACTTCATCCACGTTGCTTGAAGTCCAGTGTAAAGTTTCCACAGTCAGTGATGGTTTGGGGTGCCATGTCATCTGCTGGTGTTGGTCCATTGTGTTTTCTGAGGTCCAGGGTCAACGCAGCCACATACCAGGAAGTTTTAGAGCACTTCATGCTTCCTGCAGCTGACCAACTTTTTGGAGATGCAGATTTCATTTTCCAACAGGACTTGGCACCTGCACACAGTGCCAAAGCTACCAGTACCTGGTTGAAGGACCATGGTATCCCTGTTCTTAATTGGCCAGCAAACTCTCCTGACCTTAACCCCATAGAAAATCTATGGGGTATTGTGAAGAAGAAGATGCAATACACCAGACCCAACAATTCAGAAGAGCTAAAAGCCACTATTAGAGCAACCTGGGCTATCATAACACCTGAGCAGTGCCACAGACTGATCGACTCCATGCCACGCCGCATTGCTGCAGTAATGCAGGCCAAAGGAGGCCCAACTAAATACTGAGTGCTGTACACGCTCATACTTTTCATGTTCATACTTTTCAGTTGGCCAACATTTCTATAAATCCTTTGTTTTTATTGGTCTTCAGTAATATTCTAATTTTCTGATATGATGAATTTGAGATTTTCATTTGTTGTCATTTGTAATCATCAAAATTAAACAAAATAAACATCTGAAATATATGAGTTTGTATGTAATGTATGAATATAATATACAAGTTTCACTTTTTAAATGGAATTACTGAAATCAATCTATTTTTTCATGATATTCTAATTTTATGACCAGCACCTGTATATCGATACCGATGTTAAAGCTGGACAAAAATAAGTAGTCATTGAAAATAGCAGCTTTGTTATCCGTTTCTGACACTTTGAAAAATAATAAACTCAAATATATTTTCATATGCTGATATCAAATTGATTTTTAAAAACGCGGTATCGATCTATTTTACTTTCAAAATCTCGTGAAATTTCATCGTTCTGTTACAAACTCTCGTGATATTTTGCAAATTCTTGTGAGATTTTGTTAGTAAAATAGATCGATACCGCGTCAATATATCAACATATAAAAATATGGCAAAATTTTGTGAATTTCCGGGGGATTTCGTAGCATAACGATGACGTATAGCAATATTTCATTAGTAAAAGAGATTGATATGGTGTTTTTAAATGGCAATATATCAGCATATGAAGATATTGGGATATTTTAATGTATCAATATTTTTTCCCTCGTCTTTAGAAGTTTTTAATTCTGTAAAAAAGAAGTTTTTTTTTTTTTTTTTTTTTTTAGACTTTAGAAACTCAGAAGCTGATCAAATATCGGGTTAAATATCGGTGGGGGGGCCGATGTCCGATATTCAGTTTTAAGGCTGATACCGATAGGGGGCCGATTATATCGTGCATCCCTAGTTTAAAGTCTATTTTACTTATGAAACCAGCTCCCATAAAGTGTCATTGTTTTATTAATAGTTTATTTTATTGTTGGACAGAATTCAACATCAGGATTAGTAATTGGAATAAATATAATAATAATACATTTTATTTAAAAAGCGCCTTTCTGGACACTCAAGGTCACCGTACAAAAGCATAAAAACAGTGTCAGAAAAAATAAAATGATACCACTCAATGGGTCATTTATTCAGTTCATTATCACCCGCCCCTCCATGCAGTTACTCTGGCCCCCTGTCTCTGGTTCAAAGAATGGCACCGGCTTCCCTTACTGATTTTTTTTTTTTTTTTTTTTTTTGTGTTAGAGACCTGGGTTGATCTGTATCTCTGCTTCCGTCTCCTTTAACCCCAGTCGGCCTCCTCTTAAGATGGAGTTTTTCCTCTCTACTGTCGCTACAAGCATGCTTAGTGTGAGGGATTGCTGAAGAGTCATTGAGTCGATGCAATCAACTGGTTTTCCTTAGATAGAAAACTTTGAATCAATGTGACTGGATGATCTGGCTGAACTGGAAAGTTCCTTGAGATGAAGTGTTTTAAATTGGTGCTATAGAAATATACTGAATTGAATTGAATCTGGCGTGGAGCTTAGTGACATGATGTGACGTTGATTTATTGAGTTATATTTACTCTGCCCTTTTTTTTTTTTTTTACTTTTACTCCATTCCTGATTTTCTGTGTTTTCTCTCCACAGAATGGCACAAAAAGAGAAGCTTCAGTGTCTGAAAGACTTCCATAAGGACACCCTGAAGCCGTCCCCCGGTAAGAGCCCCGGCACTCGGCCCGAAGACGAGGCCGAGGGCAAGCACCCCCAGAGGGAGAAGTGGGCCAGCAAGTTGGACTTTGTTCTGTCCGTGGCCGGCGGCTTCGTAGGTTTAGGGAACGTTTGGCGTTTCCCTTACCTCTGCTATAAGAATGGTGGAGGTAAGCCCCTGAGGCGGATCAGAAAACGTTGATCAGACCGCTCTCCTCGTCCTTCATTCATCTTCTCCATTCTCTCCATTTTCCAGGTGCGTTTCTCATCCCCTACTTCATCTTCCTGTTTGGTGGAGGTCTGCCAGTCTTCTTTCTGGAGGTCGCCCTTGGTCAGTTCACCTCTGAGGGTGGCATCACCTGCTGGGAGAAGCTCTGTCCCATCTTCACCGGTATGCAACCATTTTACTAAGGTCGTGTCGTTGAAATGTAAAGTTCACATCTAAAGGTCAAAGCTAAGGAAGCAGAGAGCGGTACTCATATTTTTTTTTCCTTTGCCTTCTCGAGATCATGACATAACAATCTCGTCATCACTGTTAAACAATTGTTTTCTGGAGATACGAGAAAACAGTTATTGATTTCTTGAAGTAACGTGATGATTAACCTTTATGAGTAATGAATGAGGCTGGATTCCCAGTCCATCCATGCCTGCCGTAGTTGTGCAGTCGCGGTCAGCGTCTGCGCAAATAATCAGTTTTTTTGTTTCCTTTTTTCTTCTCACTCATTGTCAGGTCGTTGCGGATGATTGGATTGCATAGGATACAGCAGAAACAAATCTGACTGTAATGAAAATTTTTAATATGGACTCATTTTTTGGGGTTTGGGGTCAGAAAACACCCGGCGCCGTAGGCAAAGGTTTAATTGCAAATGAATCAGAAATGGAAGCAAATCATCAAACCAGAGTCGTACCACACAGGCTGCCATGACTTATAAATCATCTCCCGCTGTTGTGGTATTAAAGGATGTAATCAGTTTTAAAACACACCAATCATGTTATCATGAGAAAACTGCTTTCATTACCTTTAGAGAATGAGAAAATTAAGTCGTTTTCTTGAGAAAACCCTCGCGAAAAAAAATCGGAGGAACACGAACGCACTTGGCTTCCGTACAAAACTGCAACGTTTTACATAATAATGATTCATAAAAAAAAAAAAAAAAATACATATATATATCTCCACAGAGAGTGGCATCTTTTTTTTCTATTTTATTTTTTTTCATTGGCATAGAATAAACTTTCCGTTAAAAGAAAATAAAAGTTGTTTCTAATCGCTGGAGGCAGGAATGACCTGAAACGTTTCTTCTTTAGAAAACGATGGGGTTTAGTTTAATCATAACCTGATGGCTTGAAGTTCATCCAGGAGGGCCTGGATCTGCAGCTCCTCCAACATGGTTCACTCAGCAGAAGTCAAACATTGAAATGTTTATCTGCTTTTATAAAGTAGACTCATAAAGTAGATAGAATTTCACATGTAATGTTTCTGTTCCCTCGTTATTTCATGCTGATTAATCCCAGCTTTAAACGTTTGCTCCTCTGATGCTGGCTGAGCCGGGGGTTGCTTCAGTCAAACCTTTGAAGGTTTCGCTTTGAGCTGGGCGGGGGGTTCTCCACACGCCGTTCGGCCATCTTAACTTCCTTTTCCTTCTGGAGATTCTTTTTTTTTTTTTTTTTCCCACACCTCTGCTGTTTTTGACGGAGGAACGGCTGAGTCACACCAGATCCTCATCCAATAGGAGCTTC